CCTCTCCTGCCGCTCCCTCTGCTTGTGCTCTCTCTCTCTGTCAAATAAATAAATAAAAGAAAAAGAAATTTGCATTTTATTTATTTTTTTATTTTTTAAGATTTTATTTATTTGACAGAGATAGAGAGAGAGCACGAGCAGGGGGGGCAGCAGAGGCAGAGGGAGAAGCAGACTCCCCACTGAGCAGGGAGCCTGATGCGGGGCTCGATCCCAGGACAATCCCCGGACGATCCCAGGACTGGGGTTCGATCCCGGGACCCCGGGATCATGACCTGAGGAGAAGGCGGACGTTTAACCAACTGAGCCACCCAGGCGCCCCCAGAAACCTGCATTTTAAACAGCACCTCACGTGCTGTTTGAAAACCAGTTGGATGGTGTATGCTTTCTTCCAAACTGCCTTGACCTCGGCTGCTTCTTTTTCAGCCCCTCCATCCCCTGCTCCTTTGGCACCAGCCTCCCTGCTCCTTTCTATGGGCCCGCCTCCTCCAGGCTCCCCGCAAATGGCTAAAGCCATGGTGTGAGGCAATCCCTCTACCCTTGACCCCTTCCTTCGCACAGCGAGCGATGGCTTTTTTTTTTTTTATCTCCGGATGATGAAGTACAGCCTTCAGCCGGGGGGCATTTAAGACGCAGAACACTCGGCTGGTCCCCAGCCACGGCTGCAGGACCCAGGGGCAGGCCTTGACAGGCTCGGGGGAAGGAGGGAAGGAAGAAGCCACCCTTGAGAGCAGAGGCAACAGCAGCAGTGGCCACAGCACCGCTCCCCTGCCTGTCCCCACCGCCTGGACACCATGTTTCTAGCCACATTCAAGCTGTGTGCTGGGAGCTCCTACAGACACGTGCGCAACATGAAGGGTGAGTTCCCCAGGCCAGGGGGTGGCCCGCGTGGTGACCCGGAGCACTCAGGCAGCTCCCCTGCTGATCCCACTTCGCGCCTCTTGTTGGGGGAACCTGCACACGTCTCTTCCCTTCTGGACCTCCCTTTGCCCACGTGAACAGTTGGGCTGGATACTAAGACGCCTCTTAAGGGCCCCCAGCCCCTTGGGTTCGGTCACTTCTGTCCTGCTCTCCGGCGCTCTGGTCTTCCTTGAGCTCTTCCTCACTTTGCCTGGATCGGCACCAGGGGTACCGGCAAAGACCAAGCCGCAGCGCAGGGGTGGCAGTGAGCCTTGAGTCCAGCAGGCAGTGCTGGCAAGCCTGAGACATGGGGGGGGGGCGGGGGGGCGCCAAGAAGAGCAAAATGAAGAGAGAAAGCGGGTGCAGCTGGAAGTCTGGTTATCATTGTACAACGAGGAAGCAGAACCAGATACCCAAGTCCGATTTTGTAGAGCTACTCAGGACCCAAGGTCATCTGAGTCAATCCCCTGCGGTCACTGAAGGGTACACAAACCAATCGAAAGTGCTCCCCAATTACACTGGGAGGAACCGGCTTGGAAGACCCGGACCAGCAGCGGGCCTGTTCTCGCTAGATCAACCAGACTCACCTCGCTCTGCGCCCAGAGGGCACGCTGAGCAGTTACTCAGCAAAGGACTGCAGCTGCTGACAGTGACGCAGACTACAGGGGATGGGCGTCTTTAATCCTCCTCCCGCAGATTTTTTTCTAGTTGAACGAAGCTTCTCTCTCTTTCGAGAAGGAAACTTCAGCGCGCTCCCGTCCAGCCCCCGCCTCCAGGCGGGACCGGGCCTGGCCAGCCCAGATGGAAGGTCGACTCTGGGCCCAGGAGGTGGCCTGGCAGAAAGTAACGGCCCTGGACTGGGAGATGACCTGGCTCTAGTTGAGGTCCCCACTAGGGATCCGTGTTCCTGAGCAAGTCACCTCCCTCTCCCAGTGTTTCCTCATCTGTGGCAAGATGAAGGGGTGCAATGGTCCCGCTCTAAGGGGATTTCTCGATTCTAAGCAACAATTTCCTCCCCTCTCCGCAGGGCTGAGGCACCAGGCTGTGCTGGCCCTCGGCCAGGAGCTGAACCGGAGGGCACTGGGGGGCCCGACCCCGGGCGCGTGGATTCACCAGGTTCGGCGTCGGAGTTCTCTGCTCGGTAAGTACTGAGGCTTCTGGGCTCGTGCCAGCAGGAGGCGGCTCCGGGGTGTGAGCTTGGGCACGCTGCCCTGCTTCCCTCCCGCACCCCCGCCTCCCCCTAACCCTAAGCTGGCCTCTCCCACTCACTTTGAGAGGGTGGGGCTGGAGTTCCTCAAGGCCACCGCCATCAGCTGCAGCTGTGTGTCTAACTTCACCTGCAAGCCGGACCCTATGGCTTTGGTCTTGGCTCTGCACAGAAGTGAGCAGATCCAGACTGAAGGGATGGCAGCTGTGGGGGAGGCCAGGGAGACAGAAGCGAGCCCGCTCTCTCCTTGGCTGTGTGTCCAGGTTCTCGGCTGGAAGACACCCTCTACAGCGACCAGGAGCTAGCCTATATCCGGCAGGGAGAGGAGGCCATGCAGAAAGCCCTGGGCATCCTCAGCAGCCAGGAGGGCTGGAAGAAGGAGAACCAGCAGGTAAGAGTGGGCCTGGAGGAACCCACGTTCCTCACTGTTCCACTGCCATTCTCAAAGGCCTCGGGATTCCTGCCTCATGCAGCAGGTAGTTGTAATTTGAAAATCCTCCTTTCCCAAGAATATGTCCTCAGATACTCCCTTTGCCCATCAAAGACATCCCGGAGACTCGTGTCTGAGAAACACTGTTTCTGGATCCTTCGTTACCCTCCAAACACATTCTACACCCAGTTTGGCAGAGACGGCGCACTGGGGGTTCTGCGTGCGTCAGAGGCCTGCACCACCCTGGGTCAGAAGCGCCGGGGCCAAGGCGCAATGTTGGTGCTGTGTAGTCCTCTTTCGGCTGAGCTTGCGGGGCTGATCTGGGCTCAGCCGCAACGGGGCTGGACGGGAACACAAATGGCCCGAGGCCTTCTGGGTTTCCTGGCTCCTGAGCACCGCATCCTGACCGGGAACCAGTAACAGGCACGTGTTCGAGGCCGCGGGCTCTACTGAGACTCTGGTGGCTCTGCCTTCATCCAGAAGCTCCCATGCTGCCTATTGCCCTAAGTTCAGGTAAACCTGCTCCTTCTTCAAGTTCTGAGTTAGCACACTCCTGGTTTGGGAGCCAGGAAATCTGGGATGTAGGCCCAGCAATGCCCTCAGGCTAGGGGTCTCTGGGCCTCCAGCCTTCTGGTGTAAAAGGAGGTATTGGACTGAAAACCTCTTTAAGCTCCCACCCAACATTGTTTGTGTGTGTGTAATTAGCTGGTTGTAGACCAGCTCTCCCACTCCCAGGTTTGTCTTGCCCAGCAACTTTACGCTTCTGAGGTCGAGCAGGGGCCTCTTCAGTTGGACCCACCCACACCCATCAACACTTACCACCAAGAAGAAAGGGTCCAGGCACAGGCAGCCTGGGGCAGGGAAGATTACCAACGGTCTTAATCAGAAGTAATGTTAGGCTTCTTTGTGCTGTTCCCCTTCCTGCCTTGCCTGCCTTGCCCGTCTATGTGCCCTAAGCGAGGGGTATTTCTCTCTAACCTTTATCCTGCAGCTCCTTTTTTCCTCCCTGACAGGCGAATGGGGACCAAGTACTGAGTAAAGTGGTCCCAGATGTGGGCAAGGTATTCCGGCTGGAGGTGGTGGTGGACCAGCCCATGGAGAGGCTTTATGAAGAGCTCGTGGAACGCATGGAAGCAATGGGAGAGTGGAACCCAAATGTCAAGGAGATCAAGGTGAGGAGAGTCCAGGTGTAGGGAGGCTGGAACCCACAGGAGCCCAGTCGGAAGGGTGCGCCAAAGAGGCTGCGAGCTGCAGGTGGTGCCTTAGCATCAGCCTGGCTGCGTGGTGACTCTGGCTCCCTGGGGCCTGGCAGGTCCTGCAGAAGATTGGAAAAGATACAGTCATCACCCATGAGCTGGCTGCAGAAGCGGCGGGAAACCTGGTGGGGCCCCGTGACTTTGTGAGCGTGCGCTGTGCCAAGCGCCGAGGCTCCACCTGTGTGTTGGCTGGCATGGCCACACATTTCAGGGAGATGCCTGAGCAGAAAGGTGTCATCAGGTAATACCGGCAATCGCTCAAAACCTCCCTTTCCTGGGGCACCCGGGTGGCTCAGTCATTAAGCGTCTGCCTTCAGCTCAGGTCGTGGTCCCAGGGTTCTGGGATCGGGCTCCCTGCTCCCCAGGCCTGCTTCTCCCTCTCCCACGCCCCCTGCTTGTGTTCCCTCTCTTGCTGTGTCTCTCTCTGTCAAATAAATCAATAAAATCTTTAAAAATACCAAACCAAACCAAAAAACCTCCCTTTCCTAACACAGGTTTGTGGGCATGCACCACTAAGTGTGTGATGAATCCTCAGCTCCAAGAAACCAGTCCTTTGGTCCCTACCCTCAGCTTCCTTTCACACAGAAATATTCTTTTTCCTTAGCAGGGGAGGAAGACAAGTTTGGTCCTACTTAGATAGCCAGTTTGTCCCGACCTTCCCAGAAAGTTTAAGCACCTTAGTAATTTTCTAAAACATGAGGTAGGGCTGAGGTTTAGCTGGTGTGCTCAGGTACGACCGTACTGTCGATTAAAAGGTAATCCGCACCACTCAGAACATAGCTGCTACCTCAGTTTCCCAGAGGCCCCAGCCACTACCCTGGACGCTTTCTCTATTGGCAACTTAAAGGCACTACAGGAGGCCCCCCAGGCTCCAGCTCCAACCAGCATTTGTTCTGAGGAGCTGGTGACCATGCCAACCGTTAAATATCACCCTTGGCAAAAAATATTTCTTAGATTTGGAGAAGGCAAGGTAATAAGGAAGTGTGGCTAGTGTAACTGGTCAGCATAAAGGAGAATTCTGCAAGGTCCTCCTGACTTGACTTCTCTTCATTTGCCAGAGGTGAGCATGGTCCCACGTGCATGGTGCTCCATCCCCTGGCTGAAAGTCCCTCAAAGACCAAACTCACCTGGCTGCTCAGCATTGACCTCAAGGTGAGGGGCACAAGATGGCTCAGTGGGGAGGTGGTGGGGAGGAAAACTGGCTCTTACCCTCCCACATTATCCCACAAGGAACAGGAAAAATCCTCTTCCATTTTGAGAGACAGATTGTTGGAGGGAAGAGGTTTGAGTAATGACCTGCTATTCCGTCACCTCAAAAGCCTACAATCGCTCCTCCCTTTTACCTCTGTGTCAAATTTCAACTCTGCAGTTATCAATCGGGAAAGAAGGAAACTTAGGGCCCACAAGATACAGTTACTAGCTCAGGGTCACACAGCTGGGAAGAGAGCAGTTGGGGACACTGGTTGGGACAGCAGGGTAGTAATGCAGTCAGTCCTCCTGGTCAACACCAAGGTTGCACCCATAAACAGAGCTGGAAGACCAAGCCCTAAGCAACCCATGTTTGTGATAGGGTACGTTTTTACAATGGAACACTACCCACAAGATGGCCACATTCTTTTTCTACTCTAGGGATGGCTGCCAAAGACCATCATCAACCAGGTCTTATCACAGACCCAGGTGGATTTTGCCAACCACCTGCGCAAGCACCTGGAGTCCAGCCCTGCTCCTTAAGCCAGGTGTAAAGGACCAGCCTGCTCCTTCCAACTGGTCCTAGCTGCACTGGCTTGCATGCTCATCAGGAAGATCCCTGCTAGAAGCCTACAAGTCTGTTCAAGATCTTCATCTGGGGACTGTGGGATGGGGTGGGAGTGTATTTAGAGGAGGACACTGGGACTCAGATTGGTAACATTTTAAGACCAAGAAAATGGGGACAAGGCTTTTAAGAGAAAGAGCTTTCTAACTTCAATGATTAGCTGTGAAATGAAGATTAAGGGCCCCCAAATATTTGTAGAACTTCTGGGCCCTTACACATCTATTTTAAAACATCTTTAAAATGGTACTGGCTGATATAGGGTTCAGAGGGTGCTAAATACAAGGGTTGGGACCTTATCCTTCATTGGCTCACGAGCTCCATTCCCTGCAGGCAGTGTGTGGACAGCAGGGTCTTACAAAAGTGACCCCAGCAACCCTCTGCCCCTCTACCAAATAGGTAGCAAGCTGCACCAAGACCAAGCAACTCCCCACAGCAGGTGCCTTCTAGAAATGTAGTCTACATTTTCTTGATTGAAAAAAAATAGAAAACGAATTAATCCAGTTCTACTTCTTCCATGAGCATCAGTCAGAATAAAGAATCAAAACTGACACAAAAACTTCAGTCTGTACCTGGTTAAAAATTCTACTCTTAAAAAGAAATCATTCTAGTAAATTGCAACTTCATGCTAAAGGAGTTCTGGACATTTTAATGAAACTTGATCCCCTAGCTCATTAGAAGGAAAAACTACTGAGCACTTAGGTCACTCAATTATTTAGAATCTGTGACCAGGATCTTTCATAAGGGTTTAATTTCCATGATAAGCACAAGCCTAAATCAATTCTTAAAAGAACTCTAGAACTGGGAGCTGATTGACGAGCACTGGAAGGATTACGACTGAGGATTTTTATTTACCTAATTAAAAGATCGGATAGGACCAAATATAAGAGAATGAATGACAAAGTTGAACAGAAACAAATTTTATTTTCCCCAGAGTGAATGTTGAGACCTAAAAAAGGAACCGAATCTTTACTTCAGAGCCGATTATATCAGCTTCCAGCTTGGCTCAGGGCTGCCACTTTCTCTGCCTTTAACAGGCCAGTGTTTTACAACATCTAGAGGGGATGGCTGAAAGAGGTGCTATGGTGATGGCAAATTCCCTTCCAAGATTTAGAGAATTTAGGCTTTAAAAATATAAACTGGGATGGGATTCCTTTGCTAACGAGTATGGGCAGGATGAAAAACCATTACCACTTGAAGCTTTTCCATTTGGGTTCTAATAGCATTGATGATTTAAAGCATTTGGAAATAGAGCCCTAGCTTATTTAAGAGCTCAGCAGGAGCGGGAATGCTGATATTTATTGAGCTATTGAAATTTTACAGCTCAGAGAAGTATTTATTATTTATTCTGATCGTTTCTTAGAGTGGTCTATTTTTAGCATAGCTCAAATTATTGTTGGGGTGCCTGGATGGCTCAGTTGGTTAAACATCTGCCTTCAGCTCAGGTGATGATCCCAGGGTTCTGGGATCAAGTCCCACATCGGGCTCCCTGCTCATCGGGAAGCCTGCTTCTCCCCTTCCCGCTCCCCCTGCTTGTGCTGTGTGTGTCAAATAAATAAATAAAAATAAAAATAAAACAAAAAAACCAAATTATTGTTTATCTACCTGGGAGCTTCAGAATGAGAGGGGATAGTTGTATTTCTAGAACAGAATTATCATCCACTCCCAGCTAAGAGAAAATTACTACTTGTTTAAAGATGTGTGAAGCAATATACACTCTGGTTTCAAAAAAGAACAGACTGAAAGCAAAAAAGTGGGATTTTACCACATACCATAGTTTTGAGCTTGATTTTAATTTGCCTTCTCCAAACCAAGCAACTATGTCTTTGAGGAGACTGGGAGATATTTTCCCACTTGTTTAATTTTACATCGGAATAAAGTAAGTTGTCAGTGATGATCTGCTCACGGAGACCATTTTATAGGGGTCTACATGAAGAGTGGGTATTCTGTGAGCCCTTCCAATGAACCTTCTCAACACACATGCACGCGTGCACACACGTGCACTTTGAATATGAAGTATAAACAGGCAAAATTATTACTTCTGTAACTTGATTTATGAAAATCTAATGTACAAAAATTTTATCATTTCTATGGAGGGTGGGTGTACAAGTAACGTGGTAATTTGTATTACAAAGAATTTACCTCCAGCTTCCTCTGAAGAGCACTACCCTCATTCTCTTAGAGTTCTTCAAACTCTGATCATCCAGCTTTATAACCACGTCTGCCCTTTAAGGCCAGCCATGAATGAATAGGTAGGTGTCCAGTGGTGACAGTCTGACTGAGTCTTTAGCCTACAACCATACTGACTCTGTTAGTATGTGAAGAGATGCAGAAAGGCCAAGACAAAGAGCCTGGATGGTTCGTTAGGAGACAAATACATTAGTCAAAGCTACTGTGTGAAGACACCAATAGTCACTTGAGATTTGGGAACTTTTTTTTCTTTTTTTTTAAGATTTATTTATTTGACAGAGATAGATAGAGTATCCCAAGCAGATTCCCCACTGAGTGCGGAGCCTGATGTAGGGCTCGATCCCAGGACCCTGAGATCATGAGCTGAAATCAAGAGTCGACCACTTAACTGACTGAACCACCCAGGCGCTCCCCCATTAGCCCTTTTAAACTCTTGTTCACCTCCTTGAGAGTCCGATTTCACAGGATAAAGACTGGTTGAGTTGGCTGGAAAGAATGGAAGGAAGAGAAGAGGGCGTGGGGTAGAGTCAGAAACGTGCCTGTCTCCCCCAATTCTGGCTACCTTTCCTCAGACTGCCCACCTTGCTATCCCTGTCCCAAGAGGAACCCAATGTGAAAGGGAAGCAAAGTGCCACACACACTTGAAGACAAGTTTTATTTGGGAAGGGTTTCTAATTGTTAAAGCTGCAAGCAAGTTCTTTTTACAATTACAGTTCTAGAGACCTAGTAGTTTCAGAGACCCCAGTGTTCAAAAATGTTTCAAAATGAATAAAAACCCACACCAAAAGGAAAGACCTTTTAGATCTGGAATGTACAGCCACTGGTTTCAGCTGTTCTCAGAAACAGGCCTATTACTTCCTTGGAAATCAGATGGATGAAGTCAATGCCACAAAAGGAAATGTCTTTAAATAAGTTAGCTACTTGGACAAGATGATTCACTCTGTAGAAAATACAGTAAGGTATCAAGTCCCAGTTGGTGGGATACATGTTACAGCACCAGTTTCACAGGGAGCGCATGGGATCCTAGGGTCAGCAGTTGTTGGCGTATGGCACACAAAATAGAAGCAGTCACCAGAAGTGGGGAAAGTGTTGAAGGGGAGGGAGTCTCTCCCAGTCTCACCCACACTTTTAACTTGCTAACAGCAGAGGCTGTGTTCTGCAGTATCTTTGGGAGAACGTTTGCAACAGTTAAAAAACAAAAACAGGCCCCCTCCCCAATTTATTCCCCAGAAAGTCCATGTCTGCAAAGAGGGACCTGGTCAGGGTTCCCATGGCGGACTCCGCCTCCCATCCACCTCTGTTTCCACATGATATAAGACATCAGCCAGAGTATGTTCTACCACAGCGCCCCAGCCCATGTCACTCATCTGTGGGAGGAACAAGAAACAGAAATGAGGTGATGAGAATAGCTACAAAAAAGAAGTAACAGAGATACTGAGGATGCGTCATGACTGTTACTCACAGGGCGGTAAGTGAGATCCTTTGGAGGATACTTGAAGCATGGTCCAAAGTTAATGGAAACCTGGGATAATTCAATTCAAGCAGACAGACATGAAAACACAGAAGAAAAGAGTGAAAAAGTTTAACATGACACAGGAACTTTTTAAATGTAGCTATGACATTCAGGGTGTAAGTGGAACAAATGAAATAGATTTAACATTGCTTAAAAGTGGTCAACATCCTAATGTCCATCAAAAATTAGGTAAATAAAACAGACTTTGGTTGACTTCTGTTTATAACCTAAAGATTTCCTTATTCTACTTCAATGGTGGTTACCGACAGACTAAAAAAATGGAAACTTCCAGATATTACCTTTTCAAACCACGTAAAACAACAACAAAGTTGTCCCTTTCGTACTGGATCATATTTAAAAAAACAAAACAAAACAAAACAAACAACAACACAGTATATGAAATAACCAACAGTTACTAACCAATGATGGTGGGTCATCATGACCTGTAACACCAAGTTGACTTTTGCATGTACATACTTCATATGCCTTACACTGAACAGTAGCATTTACCACACAGTACATTCAAAGGAAAAGTCCGGGGCACGCTAACTGCACAGTCTTTTATCTACCCAAGCAAATACTTCCTAACACACCCAACTGTTTTTGGGATAGCCACAGTCACAGTAGGAACACATTCCCTTCTCACTCTTCAGCTAGCTACTTAGACTTCTTTCTGGAACTCACATCAATGGCTCTTCCAACACAACCATTCACCTATTTCCCTCAAGTCCTGTTCACAGGATGAACAGAGGATACATACCGTGCAACTCTTATACAGTGAGATGGCCGGAAAATAAACCCCCTCAAAAATATCTTTGTAGGCCACACCTTGATTGACACCGTTTTTATAAAATATTATCTGAAACAAAAACCGTGGTTTTACTTCGGAATTTAACAACAGAGCAAACAAACTGCCAAAGAACCCACTTGGAGAACCCTTCGGCAGTGCTGTCACCATGCTGCTAACAGGGTCTTCCAAGGACAGCATACAGCTCGGGGAGCAACAATGGTGTCTTCCATTTAGAGAGGACTTCAGATTTACATGCACTATTCCAGTCAGTCTTCAGGTTTATTTGCTTTCTGAATTCCTATGTTACTTATACCAAACTGTTCTACTCTCTATTATTCGTTACACTGTGTTTATAAACACAAATTTGGTCTTCCACCAATTCCTCAGAACCATACCCTTGTAAGCTTATTTATTAGTCCCCTTCCCTCGCATCAGATTCTCACTTCTGTAGCTCTCTTTGGAAAATCTCTTCAGATCTCCTAAATTTCTGAATCCTCATTTTCTTTGTCCTTTCTCTTCTGAAAATTATTCTGAATATTCTCTCTCAACCACTATCCATGGACTTCAGAAAAGGCTCTTTTTTTCTGAAGTAACTTTCTCTGCCTGTTTTTCCCAGCAAAAGCAATGTTCTCCTGGGCTGGATTATCTGGTTGTATCATCCTTAGAGCTATTAACTGTTTCCCTTTACTTTTTCCCCCTCAAAACAACTGGAACCCTACTTTATTTTCTCCTACATTCACTTCTATTACTGTCTCAGGTAGCTTCACAGCATTTTTATGGAAAAAAGTCTCCAGCTCAAAATTTTCTTCCACTATTTTCGGCCCCTGTGGCTGGTCCAGTCGTGCCAGCCTTTATTTATGCTAGGACTTTGGGCAGACGTGTTTCATCAACCTTTGAACAGGAAGCAGGGAAAGTTCTAGAGGATCCTGAGTGAACCATGACAGCTCCAGCTGCCTATGGGTCACACAGCAAGATCCTCTCCTATTCCAGTGTTCCTCCCTCTGTACTCGATCCTGCCTCTGAGAAGAACAAATATCTCTGACTTGCTTCCTCAATTGCTTGTACATTTATTTCCTCAGGAGGCTGCCGTTTTTACCCTTGTCTCTGTAGACCATCCCTAGAAGCACCCTGAAGAGGCCTCTGAGAGCAGCCACACGGCGCCACAGGAAGGGCACAAACATAGCAAGTAGGAGAGGCAGCTCGCTCTGCTGCCCCTTTGGGCCTCATTTTCCTCACTTGTATAAATCAGGAGGTTGGTCCCAATCTTCAAAGCCTTCTAGTTCTGACATTTTTATGACCATGACTCACCTCACTATGGGGAGTCTGCTTTAGGCTCTTCTCTGCTTTATCCACAAAGTCTTTTTCCTCAAAATACAAATAACTCTTGAACTTTATCAAAGCCTTGAAAACCAAGAAAGAAAGGGAAAAAAGGAACATTGAAGAATCAGCCACATCATCATGAAATTAAAAAAAAAAAAAAAAAAGAGCCAGATTCACACAAATAGCACGGAGTCCTTATGTTGTGCAACAGAAATTAAAAATCTATGCAGGGTTAGCTTTGCTAGATTTTAAACAACTATGTGCTTCTTGAAAAGTACCAGATGGCACATATTTGTTAAACATTTTCAAAAAAGGTCTTTACTAAGATTTTGAGGAAACACATACACATACACTTTCACCACAATAAAAATACCCATTAAACTAAAATTAATTCATAGTTTTTATTTTCCCCTCAATAATCTCAGTGAAACAAATAACAAGTTTACTGAGCCTAAACTCTCCCATTCTATAAAAACATTTTTCGAGGGCTACTTCCTTTCGTCCTAGTTCCCTACCTGCTTCTCCTATTGGTGGTCTCCGGGTCACCCCTTCCTTGCTGGCTGGTTCCCAAGAGCCTAACTATTCACTCCCAAGGAAATAGATGATATTAATTTTTTAAAATTTGAATTTCTTAGCATATACATACATTAAACACAGTTAAAAAAAAAATTCAAGAGATCTACAAGAACATAAAATGAGGAGTATCTCTCCCTCTGTCACCATGTCCTTCAACACTCAAGTTTCCCTTTGCCAAAAGCAATCTCTGTTCCAGTGTCCTTGTATATCCTTCTAGAAAGTCTAAGCATATATTATTATCTTCAAAATTAAAAACACACACACACACAAAAAAAAAACCCCACACCAGACAAAAACACAAAGAAAGAAGCAAGAGGACCGATACTACCCAATTTAAAGACCTACTCTAAAGCTACAATAATCAAGACAGTGTGGTATGGCATAAAGGTCAACGAAGAGATCAATGGAACAGAGAGCCCCAAAACAAACTCTACTTTCTACTTATAAAATCATCTGATTTTCACAAAGGGCACCAAAGAAATGAGGGTCAAAGTTTTCAAAAACTGGTGGTAGAATAATTGGACACCCATCCATATGGAAGAAAAATTAACTTTGATACCTACTTCACACTATACATAAAAAGTAATTCAAAGTGGAACAGAGACCTAAATGCAAAAGCTAAAACCTTGTTTTCAAAGGAAAACATGGAAGAATATCTTCATGAGTGGAGGGTAGGCAAAGAATTATTAACTCATAGAAAGCAATATAACTGTAAAAGAAAAATTTGATAGATTTCCTAAAAATTAAATACTTCAGGAAATCAGAAGACACCATTAAGGAATAAATAAGTCACAGACTAGAAGAAAAAAAAAATGTATTTTTTAAGTAGGCTCCACGCCCAGCACAATGCAGGGCTTGAACTCACAATCCTGAGATCAAGATCTGAGCTGAGACCAAGAGTCATATGCTTAACCAACTGGGCCACCCAAGCACCCCAAAAAATATTTTTAAAAAGCCACTTTTAGGGGTGCCTGGGTGGCTCAGTTCATTAAGCATCTGCTTTTGGCTCAGGTCAGGATCCCAGAGTCCTGGGATCGAAACCCGAGTCTGGCTCCCTGTTCAACAGGGAGCCTGCTTCTCCCTCTCCTCCCCACACTCATGCTCTCTCTTGATATCTCTCTCAAATAAAATCTTAAAAAAAAAAAAAAAAAGCCACTTCTAACCAAGAACTGTAATCCAGCATATATATAAAAAAACCTTCTATAACTCAATAAAAAGATAACCTGATTAAAAAAAAAGGGGCAAAATATTTGAAAAGAAACTTCATAAAATAGATGAATGGCTAATCAGCACATGAAAACCTGCTGAGTATTATTAGTCATCAAAGAAATGTTAATTTGTTTAAGGTTTTTAATTTTTTTTAAATGTTGTCTTTTTTTTTTTTTTAAAGATTTTATTTATTTGTGAGAGAGAGCGAGCAAGCACAAGCAGAGAGAGATGCAGGCTCCCCGCTGAGCAGGGAGCTCGATGTGGGACTCGATCCCAGGACCCTGCAATCATGACCTGAGCGAAGGCAGACACTTAACCAACTGAGCCACCCAGGCGTCCCAAGACATGCTAATTTAAACCACACTGGGACACCACTATGCACCCACCAAAATGGCTAAAATTAAGTTGACAGACAACAACAAATGTTGACAAGGATGTGAAGCAACTACAATTACCATACATTGTAGCTGGGAGTGGAAAGAAATCTGGCAATTGCTTCTAAAACTAAATATATAACTACTTTATGACCCAGTAATTGCATTTCTAGGTGCTGCCCCAAAAGAAACAAAAACATGTTTACAAAAACATTTGTACAAGACAGTTCACATCACCTTTATTCATAATAGCCCAAGTGTCCATCCATAGGAAAATGGAGTCATCTGATCTAGTAATTCCATTACTGGGTTATTTACCCAAAGAATAAAAAACACTAATTCAAGAAGATACATGCATCCCTATGTTTATTTAGCATTATTTACAACAGCCAAATTATGGAAGTAACCCAAGTGTTCATCTACAGATGAATGAATTGATAAAGAAGATATGGTGTATACACAATGGGAGACTACTCAGCCATAAAAAAAAGAACAAAATCTTGCCATTTGCAACGACTTGGATGGAGCTAAAGAGTATAATGCTAAGTGAAATAAGTCAGAGAAAGACAAATACCATATGATTTCACTCATATGTGGAATTTAAGAAACACAACAAAGAAAAAAAAAGAGACAAACCAAAAAACAGACTCAACAATAGAGAACAAACTGGTGGTTACCATAGGGGAGGTGGGTTGGGGGGATGCATGAAATATGTGAAGGGTATTAAAAGTACTTATGATAAGCACCAAATAACATATGGAATTGTTGAATCACTTTATCATACACTTGAAACAAATATAACACTGTATGTTACTTATACTGGAATTTAAAAATATTAAAAAAATAGGAAAATGGATACACTATGGTGTATTCATACAATAGAATACTACTCTACAATAAAAGGAAACAAACTACAGATACATGCAAAAACATAAATGAATCTCAAAAGCATTAAGCCAAACAATAAAAGCCAGATGCAAAAGATGACACAGTACATGGTTCCATCTACTTAAGTTTAAGAACAAACAAAATTAATGGAATAAAATTACGATAGGGAAAAAAAATTTTTTTTAAATGGTTAAGATTCTAATGTCTCCTTTGGGATTTAGGCCAAACTCAAAACTCAGTGAATATATACACTTAAAATTTGTACATTTCATGTAAGACTTATAGCAAAAGAAAAAACTAAATAAAGGTTGAACTCTAGCTAATGATGTGTATCCTGAAGCACATGGGCGGGGGTGAGGTATATTGGTGGCTAGCATTCTCTGAAGTGCATTAGAACAAGATGGCGGACAGATGGGTGGGTGGAGGAATGAACAAATGGCAGAATCTAGGTGATGGGTATTTGGACACGGAATTTAAAATTCTTTCAACTTTTTTATGTCTTAACATTTTCAGAATGAAATATGAGAAAAAACATGTGAATGGTAGGTCAGCATGACCAGAGAACACTCAGGCCACCGCTGCAGGCATTCATTGGCTGCCACAGGTCTTCAAACCCAGGAATCTCCCAGGAGGACAAACTCACCTTATCTTTGTAAGTATCAGGCAGTGACTTGGCTGTCTCTGTGTCTTCAGGAAGATTGATATAGAATCCCAGGACATCTCCCTGTCCATAGCCAGAAGAGTAGTGTTTGCCAATTGACTGGTGGAACTTGGTTCCTTTTTTGCTCCGCCATGAATAGCTAAATTTATCATAACCTAAGGGAGCTTGAAGGTTACCTGTTCCAATAAAAAGATATACAGGAAGTCAAAAGATTGCAAATCAACTCCGGTTTGCTGAAAGAAAAAATTGTACTCCTTTTCATTTTATTTTTTGGTTGGTTTTACAAAATTGCAAACCACCCAATCCTTCAGAAAGTGAATTTTATGCCCATAATCCAATAAGCCCCAAGAAAAGCCACGAAGCTCAGCCAGATGATCTATACCTCTCTGCCTGATGGCTCCTACTTACCTAAGGGCTGGGACCACCCCAGTCTGGCAGCAGTGTCCGGTGGCATCTCATCCACTGTGATTTCGAAGTACCAGGCGCCTTTCCGGACCCCATGAGAAGCCCGGACCATGGAGTAGCCCTTCTCTCCAACCACAGTGAGCCGGTCATCGGAGATCTTTAGCTGGGGAGCTACAGTGTGAAGATGAAAACGGAGGCCTGCAACTTGCTGGAGGCCCTCAGACACAATTGCCCCCCCCCAAACTGGACTCTCCTACACTCCAGTAAAACAAAGTAAAAAACTGGCAGAATCAGGTCAGGAATCTGGAGTATTATTCAGGAGTTTCAAAATCTCAATGTAGGATATGGCCGAGGGCGAGAGGAAAAAACGGGAACAAAGTGGTCAGGTAATTCAGTTTCTATTAAGTGATATTTAAGTTAACAGGTTAAAATCAGTTATGCTGTCTATTCCCTAAAACATAACAAACCAATTATAATGTGGTTGGATCTCGATTTGTATAAACCATCTTTTTTTTTCTTTCTTTTTAAATTAAGTTTTCCTCCCAATGTGGGGCTTGAACTCATGACCCTGGAATCAAGTTGCATGCTCTACCTACTGAGCCAGTCAGGTGCCCCTGTATAAGCCATCCTTTAAAAGACTTAATATTTAATTTTGAAACAATTTTAGACTTTCAAAAATAATATACATTCCTCCTGTGTCCTTCACTCAGCTTCCCCAAATGTTAAAACACCATCTATGGCCATAACACAATTATCAAAATCAGAAAATTGGCATTGGTATAATGCTACTAACCAATCTACAGATCATCTTCAAATTAAGCCAATTATCCTAATAATATCCTTTTTCTGTTCCAGGATCTAATCCAACATCCCACACTTCATTTGGTTGTTGTGTGTCCTTAGTATCCTCCAATCTGGGGCAGTTAAGTCTTTCATGACCATGACATTTTTTTTTTTTTTAAAGATTTTATTTATTTATTTGACAGAGAGAGAGATAGCGAGAGCAGGAACACAAGCAGGGGGAGTGGGAAAGGGAGAAGC